TGTATACTGCGGGGTACTGTATATCCCTGACTGTATACTGCGGGGTACTGTATACCCCTGATTGTATACTGTGGGGTACTGTATACTGAGGGGTACTGTATACCCCTGTCTGTATACTGAGGAGTACTGTATACCCCCTGTCTGTATACTGAGGAGTATTGTATACCCCCTGTCTGTATACTGAGGGGTACTGTATACCCCTGACTGTATACTGAGGGGTACTGTATACCCCTTGACTGTATACTGAGGGGTACTGTATACCCCTGACTGTATACTGAGGGGTACTGTATACCCCCTGACTGTATACTCAGGGATACTGTATACCCCTGACTGTATACTGAGGGGTAATGTATACCCCCTGACTGTATACTGAAGGGTACTGTATACCCCCTGACTGTATACTGAGGGGTACTGTATACCCCTGACTGTATACTGAGGGGTACTGTACACCCCTGACTGTATATTGAGGGGTACTGTATACCCCCTGACTGTATACTGTGGGGTACTGTATACCCCGACTGTATACTGAGGGGTACTGTATACCCCTGACTGTATACTGAGGGGTACTGTATACCCCCTGACTGTATACTGAGGAGTACTGTATACTGAGGGGTACTGTATACCCCCTGACTGTATACTGAGGGGTTCTGTATACCTCCTCCCTGTATACTGAGGGGGTACTGTATACCCCCTGACTGTATACCCCCTGAGGGGATTTCCCCCTTCCCCAAGCCCCCCTCCCCCCTCCACTCCTACACCCCAGACACAAATACATACCAAAGTTCTATAACGACAAAACCAGGATCTCCGCCTCGTCATTTTCGCTACCGACCTGACAACACACTAACCATGAGAGACAGAAGTGGACCGAGAGGAATGGAATGCGAAAATGAACGAGGAGAGGGGAAAACAGGGAAGAACGAAAGGTGGAGACATTTGGTGTAAGAGGAGAAAGCATTAGGAGGAGAAAGCATTAGGAGGAGAAAGCATTAAGCAGGTAAGGAAGAGAGCAAGATAGGGACGGAGACCCACAGAAATAACAGTCATACGAGGCTTTGAGCCAACAAACAGAAGGGATGAACCTGGGAAACACCACTAAGATATCGACACAACAAATACACAGGGCAATATACCGTAGAAGCTTACGTTATCAGTTATCTCGCTAATTCTCGTGCTCTCACGAATACACACGCCCTAATCCGACAGGCGTGTCGCGTTGCTGCGACTAATTATGTGAGTGAATAATTTACCAGGCTAATGGCAGGCATTGTTTGGAAATATGGAGTAGAGTGGTAGTGCTGGCCAGAGTAGTCGCCAGCTGTCACGAACAGCGACTGCCAACAGCCTCGTGCAACTGGCGACTAATAACACCCACATGGCGAGTTGCCATATATGAGTCACGTGACCAGCCAGGAGAATATAGGTGAGAGTAAGTCCACCACTATACCTAGAGTTCTGATTGGCTCTTAAGTTTCACCATGCTAGACGAGGACCAATTAATTTGCTTGGGAAGGAGGTTATCTTGAGATGATTTCGGGGCTTTTTAGTGTCCCCGCGGCCCGGTCCTCGACCAGGCCTCCACCCCCAGGAAGCAGCCCGTGACAGCTGACTAACACCCAGGTACCTATTTTACTGCTAGGTAACAGGGGCATAGAGTGAAAGAAACTCTGCCCATTGTTTCTCGCCGGCACCTGGGATCGAACCCAGGACCACAGGATCACAAGTACAGGGTGCTGTCCGCTCGGCCGACCGGCTCCCAAGAGGGGGAGGGGGGGATCTCGGCCACATGTAGAAACACTAATCTTGTGTTGGCCATCAAGGAACACCCAACATGAGGGTGTTGAGTCCACCCATCCACACATCCACATGGAGTATACCTGTGGAGGGTTTCGGGAGTTCTTTTACTCCCCGAGCTCCGGTTCAGGGGGGGGGGGGAACAGGCTCGACTTGTGATTACTTGATCCAACAGGCTGTTGTTGCTTGGAGCGGCCCCGCAGGCCGACATAAACCACACATAGCAGCTTCAACCATAGTCACACTCCTCACAAACCAAAGGACATATTTCCTACCGTCGTTAAGCGTAGCATCTGATCGAAGATTGTACAAGAAAACTACTGATGTTTTCCCGTGAGTGAAGACCTGAGTGAATGACCTGAGTGAAGACCTGAGTGAATGACCTGAGTGAATGACCTGAGTGAAGACCTGAGTGAATGACCAGCTTTCATATATTCGCTTGTCGAGTTCATTCTTTTAGCTCAGTCGATAATAGAAAAAAATGACAATGTCGAGAAGTCACTATAGCTCTGTGCTGTCGCTAGTAAAGCACTCGACCTAAAAGCCGAAGGTTAACTGGAGCAAGTTTAGAGTAATGAAGTGAGGTGGAGGGAACACAAGAGTCCAGACACAAGGTAACACTTGACACATGAAACCCATCAAGGATCTGACAAGAGAGGAAGGCCTGGAGTTGGCCTCACGCCAAGCCCGTTTCCTAAAGCCCACATCAAATTAATATCATCAGCGGCATACGTTATGGGGTGGTCAAAATAAGAAAGGCCTTTAAAAATTCCAATGAGGAAATATTCGGGAACTTATGTATCACATACGCCAGACCAATTCAAGAACATGCAACGCCAGCCTCGAGTCCTTATCTTGTCAAATATAAAAAAGGAGCTGGAGAAAGTCCGGAGGGTCGCCCCCCACCCCTCCTTCAGCCCCCCTCCCTTCCCCACTCCCTCGGCACCCCCCTCCCCCCAACACCATCATTCAAGCTGCACCCCCAAGTTTACTACTAAGGCTATCACTTAATATACACTGGCTTCCTTGCCCCGCCCACTAGAGCACCATAACTCAAAATTCCCCCTCCCCCCCCTCCCCACTAAGACCATAACACAAAATATACCCTCTTCCCCCTCCCTCCCCCCTTTAATGAGCCACATGAGCCAAAAATACACCCCCCTTCCCCTCTCTCCCCAACACCCCTCAAAACACACACCTCCCCACCTTATCCCCACTAACCTCATCACTCCCTCACCTCCTCAACACCCCAAGCCTCACAACACCTCATTCCCAGCCTCATTCACTCAACCGAACAGATCGTAAACCTCCGACAACCACCCCTTATGCGACGCATCTTCCAGGTGTTCAGATCATCTTAGCGGATTTTTACCCGTAGCGTTCCTCAATGGCTTCCTCGCCTTTGTATGTGGTGATATGCTTGGTTTGTTGAGAGAGAGAGAGAGAGAGAGAGAGAGAGAGAGAGAGAGAGAGAGAGAGAGAGAGAGAGAGAGAGAGAGAGAGAGAGAGAGAGAGAGAGAGAGAGAGAGAGAGAGAGAGAGAGAGAGAGATATACACCAGAGAGAAAATGAAGACTCCAATGGACAAGGGGAATCCTTTGATAAGTTTTTGTCCCACTCTTTGTTCTCTTCATTCTTCCTTCCCATTTCCCTTCCTCCTCCTCCTCCATTTCCTTCTTTCCTCAGCGCACACTTCCATACTATAACACAGTACACATGCAACAGCTCAAGACCGAATAGTTTACGTTAACTATTCAACAGCTAGCAACTAGGAGAGGGAGAGTGGAGGGTCCTGGAGTAGACCAGCGACCAACCGAAGGGTCCCGGGTTCGATCCCCTCGCAGGGAAGTTAGGCACCTGTTATAGGTTGCAGCCTGAGGTTAGTTAGTCCTTTGCCACGGGCCTTAGATGGGACCTGGATAAATTTAAAATTTTGCCCCGAGGGGCGAGTTTATTGGTCAGCGCCACTCACCTTGTGAGAGGACATACTGCCACAGCAGCATGTACAACACTCCCCAAAAGGAAGAAAACCCGCTGGGTTGTTCATCCTTTTCCTGGATAAATCTAACAGGGATTTTTGTCCCCTACTATGGGAATCCAGAGAGTTTAGGTGGCTTGTTTCGTTGAATATCTGATTGTTGCTGTTGTAATTATGTCTTAGAGCCGGTAAGGAGTGAAGCTCCTGCTGGCTGACCGTCTTGTGTTATAATGCCAGTTAGCTGTGTATATATATATATTGTATATATTATTCACGATCCATCCTTTGCCCCTTTCTCCCTCTTTCGCTCTCTCTCTCTCTCTCTCTCTCTCTCTCTCTCTCTCTCTCTCTCTCTCTCTCTCTCTCTCTCTCTCTCTCACACACACACACACATCCCCCCCCACCACCACTCAACCACCCCTCAGGTCGCCACCACCCAACACGCCGCCTCGGGTCTCCAGCAAACACCACCAAAAACTTCCTTGCCACCAGTCCCTGACGTTAACTTTACCATCATAACAGCGAACACAGAACCTCGTCCCGCCTCGACCATAATTACTTGTGTCATAAAAACCCCCAAAAGAAGAGATAGAGGGCGACACACGATGGCCCGCCGGGGCCAAGGAGGCGGAAATGAACGACATTAAGTGACCTGGATATGAAAGGTGTGAACAAAAGGAATCGAAGAGGACACGAGACACCCCAAAACAAAAAAAATATAAAAAATCTGACACTACCCAAGGGTCCAGAGCTAGGAGTCATCAGACATTTACGCAACTGTTTACGAAACCTGTACATCTTCCCCCCCCCTCACTTATGGCGGCTTTGTTTAAGTTTATTTAATTAACAGCTTTTGAGCTGATATACACAACGAGGTTGTTAATAACAGTAACACTGTTGTTGTGCAGTTTCGAAGCTCAAACTGTTTATATAAATGTAAACAAAGCCGCCATAATTGAGAGGAAAGATGTACAGGTTTCGCAAGTGGTTGTGTAAATCCTTCATGACTCCTGGCCCCCTGGAAGAAAATAAAAACGAGTGAATAGGAAGACTCGAAGTGGATACAAAGGAACCGAAGTACTAAGACAACAGAGAAATTTAATTCGCAAAAAAGGAAAGAATCTGAAATAATAATGAAGCCGGAACAGGGACACAAAACTGGGGAAAAGAGGCGAGGAGACACACGCAGAAGGCAAGACTATTATGACGCACAGGACGCAACACTGCAGGCAACACTGCAGGCAACACTGTAGGCAACACTGCAGGCAACACTGTAGGCAACACTGCAGGCAACACTGCAGGCAACACTGTAGGCAACACTGCAGGCAACACTGTAGACATCACTGCAGGCAACACTGTAGGCAACACTGTAGGCAACACTGTAGACAACACTGCAGGCAACACTGCAGGCAACACTGTAGGCAACACTGCAGGCAACACTGTAGGCAACACTGTAGACAACAATGCAGGCAACACTGTAGGTAACACTGCAGGCAACACTGTAGGCAACACTGCAGGCAACATTGCAGGCAACACTGTAGACAACAATGCAGGCAACACTGTAGGTAACACTGCAGGCAACACTACAGGCAACACTACAGACAACACTGCAGGCAACACTACAGGCAACACCGCAGGCAACACTGCAGGCAACACTACAGGCAACACTGCAGGCAACAATGCAAGCAACACTACAGGCAACATTGCAGGCAACAATGCAAGCAACACTGTAGGCAACACTACAGGCAACACTGCAGGCAACACTGCAGGCAACACTGCAGGCAACACTGCAGGCAACACTGCAAGCAACACTGCAGGCAACACTGCAGGCAACATTGCAGGCAACACTGCAGGCAACACTACAGGCAACACTGCAGGCAACACTGCAGGCAACACTGCAGGCAACACTACAGGCAACAATGCAGGCAACAATGCAAGCAACACTGCAGGCAACAATGCAAGCAACACTGCAGGCAACACTGCAGGCAACATTGCAGGCAACACTACAGGCAACAATGCAAGCAACACTGCAGGAAACAATGCAAGCAACACTGCAGGCAACACTGTAGGCAACACTGCAGGCAACACTGTAGGCAACACTGCAGGCAACACTGCAGGCAACACTGCAGGCAACACTGCAGGCAACACTGCAGGCAACACTGCAGGCAACACTGCAGGCAACACTGCAGGCAAAGCAACAAGTGTAATACACACAAGTAATTTCCTAATCAAACATTAAGAAATCTGGAAGTAAAAGAATATTACAAAATAGAACACAAAAGTAATTTTTCGAAAATTGATAATCTGGATACATGAGCGTATGACGTGTATGTATCGGTCATACGTGCATGTATTCCCGTTCTCGGGGACAGGAAGCCTGTACTTTGGTTTAACGAGGCTCCCCCCCCCCTGACCTCCCCCAGGATGCAAGCAACAGCTAGCAGTGACCTCATTCCTGGATACCTACTTACTGCTATAGGGGGGGAAAGGAAACTTGCCCAACCGTCTCCGTCCTGCCATAGATCGACCCCGGGATCCTCGGTTGTGAGCCAAAGACGTAGACCACTGCGCTATAATACCAATCTGAGAACACTATCGACACAAAGTTACACTCTAAAATCTAAGAGTATGTTTTCGTATGAATAGTAGTCAATGCGTGCTCGCAACCGAAGATCCTAGGTTCGACCCCTGGGCGGAACAGAGACGGTTGGGCACGTCACTTCACGGCTTTGTTCACCTAGCAATAAGGTATCTAAGAGTTAGGCTTAAGATGAAAGGGTACCGGATCATATTCTGAATGAATACCTGTACATACCCTGTACCCAGTGGATCCTGTACCCAGGGTATCCTGTACCCAGTGTATCCTGTACCCAGGGTACCCTGTACCCAGGGTACCCTGTACCCAGGGTATCCTGTACCCAGGGTATCCTGTACCCAGGGTATCCTGTACCCAGGGTATCCTGTACCCAGGGTACCCTGTACCCAGGGTACCCTGTACCCAGTGTATCCTGTACCCAGTGTATCCTGTACCCAGGGTATCCTGTACCCAGTGTATCCTGTACCCAGTGTATCCTGTACCCAGGGTATCCTGTACCCAGTGTATCCTGTACCCAGTGCATCCTGTACCCAGGGTATCCTGTACCCAGGGTATCCTGTACCCAGGGTACCCTGTACCCAGTGTATCCTGTACCCAGGGTATCCTGTACCCAGGGTACCCTGTACCCAGTGTATCCTGTACCCAGGGTATCCTGTACCCAGGGTATCCTGTACCCAGGGTATCCTGTACCCAGTGTATCCTGTACCCAGTGCATCCTGTACCCAGGGTATCCTGTACCCAGGGTATCCTGTACCCAGGGTATCCTGTACCCAGGGTATCCTGTACCCAGTGTATCCTGTACCCAGTGCATCCTGTACCCAGGGTATCCTGTACCCAGTGCATCCAGTACCCAGGGTATCCTGTACCCAGGGTATCCTGTACCCAGGGTATCCTGTACCCAGGGTATCCTGTACCCAGTGTATCCTGTACCCAGTGCATCCTGTACCCAGGGTATCCTGTACCCAGTGTATCCTGTACCCAGGGTATCCTGTACCCAGGGTATCCTGTACCCAGTGTATCCTGTACCCAGGGTATCCTGTACCCAGGGTATCCTGTACCCAGGGTATCCTGTACCCAGGGTATCCTGTACCCTGTACCCAGGGTATCCTGTACCCAGGGTATCCTGTACCCTGTATCCCCATACCCTGTACCCAGGGTATCCTGTACCCAGGGTATCCTGTACCCAGGGTATCCTGTACCCAGGGTATCCTGTACCCAGGGTATCCTGTACCCAGGGTATCCTGTACCCAGGGTATCCTGTACCCAGTACCCAGGGTATCCTGTACCCAGGGTATCCTGTACCCAGGGTACCCTGTACCCAGGGTACCCTGTACCCAGGGTATCCTGTACCCAGTGTATCCTGTACCCAGGGTATCCTGTACCCAGGGTATCCTGTACCCAGGGTATCCTGTACCCAGGGTATCCTGTACCCAGGGTACCCTGTACCCAGGGTATCCTGTACCCAGGGTACCCTGTACCCAGGGTATCCTGTACCCAGGGTATCCTGTACCCAGGGTATCCTGTACCCAGTGTATCCTGTACCCAGGGTATCCTGTACCCAGGGTATCCTGTACCCAGGGTACCCAGTACCCAGGGTATCCTGTACCCAGGGTATCCTGTACCCAGGGTATCCTGTACCCAGGGTATCCTGTACCCAGGGTATCCTGTACCCAGGGTATCCAGTACCCAGGGTATCCTGTACCCAGGGTATCCTGTACCCAGGGTATCCTGTACCCAGGGTATCCTGTACCCAGGGTACCCTGTACCCAGGGTATCCTGTACCCAGGGTACCCTGTACCCAGGGTATCCTGTACCCAGGGTATCCTGTACCCAGGGTACCCTGTACCCAGGGTACCCTGTACCCAGGGTACCCTGTACCCAGGGTATCCTGTACCCAGGGGGTACCCAGGGTATCCTGTACCCAGGGTATCCTGTACCCAGGGTACCCTGTACCCAGGGTACCCTGTACCCAGGGTACCCTGTACCCAGGGTACCCTGTACCCAGGGTACCCTGTACCCAGGGTATCCTGTACCCAGGGTACCCTGTACCCAGGGTATCCTGTACCCAGGGTACCCTGTACCCAGGGTACCCCCTGTACCCAGGGTACCCTGTACCCAGGGTACCCTGTACCCAGGGTACCCTGTACCCAGGGTACCATGTACCCAGGGTACCCTGTACCCAGGGTACCATGTACCCAGGGTACCCTGTACCCAGGGTACCCTGTACCCAGGGTATCCTGTACCCAGGGTACCCTGTACCCAGGGTATCCTGTACCCAGGGTACCCTGTACCCAGGGTACCCTGTACCCAGGGTATCCTGTACCCAGGGTATCCTGTACCCAGGGTACCCTGTACCCAGGGTACCCTGTACCCAGGGTACCCTGTACCCAGGGTACCCTGTACCCAGGGTACCCTGTACCCAGGGTATCCTGTACCCAGGGTATCCTGTACCCAGGGTATCCTGTACCCAGGGTATCCTGTACCCAGGGTATCCTGTACCCAGGGTACCCTGTACCCAGGGTATCCTGTACCCAGGGTATCCTGTACCCAGGGTATCCTGTACCCAGGGTATCCTGTACCCAGGGTACCCTGTACCCAGGGTATCCTGTACCCAGGGTAAACTAAACTGATTAACTAGTATAGTAGAGAATTAACAACATATTATTTCAACATATTTTCATCAATAACTTACGCACGAGCCAAAGGAACAAAAAATATAAGCTCTTTCAGAGCAGGAACCTTCCCCCCTTGCCCTCTTTTAGACTCTAAAATCTTCGCCAATTTTAGGAGTGAGTCAGCTGAGAGAGAGAGAGGTGGCTGGCGGCCCCATTGATTACGAAGAGAGAGAGGGGGGAAGGGGAAGGGGGTTTCAACAGGTGTTGTGTAGTCCTTCCCTTCCCTTCCCTCTCTCCTTCCCTCTCTCCTTCCTTCCTTCCTTCCATCCTCTCTCTCTCTCTCTCTCTCTCTCTCTCTCTCTCTCTCTCTCTCTCTCTCTCTCTCTCTCTCTCTCTCTCTCTCTCTCTCTCTCTCTCTCTCTCTCTCTCTCTCTCTCTCTCTCTAACCCAGACAAAACACAATCAGTGTCCCATACTCGCCGGGGTGGATTGTGGTAACCCCAGGGGGGGGGGGGAGGTTATCCACCAGTAGTGGAGGTATTATCCACACGACTGGATATAGCTGGCGGCGCTAACTGCTGTGGGAGCCTCACGTCGTCTCCTGCCACTGGCCCCAGAGGTTAATTATTGTGATACTCTCCCATCTTCGCTACACAAGCCATCGTGATTGCATTGATTTCCAACCTTTGATTTGTGTTTTCCGGTGGGCCTGCTGGCGAGGCCCAAGGCGCCCACATATCCACTCTCTCACACAGTGGCCACCGTGCTGAGATCGTAGTCCTAAGGGCCCGGGTTCGGTTCTCGGTCGAGGCAGAAACGATTTCTTTCATGTGATGCGCCTGTCCACCTAACTGTACATAGAATGTTTGAAAGTCAGACAGCTGATGCGGGTTGCATCATGGGGGGATGTGTGTATGTGTGTGTGAGAGAGAATTATGTAGTAGATATGATAAAAAGAAAAAAATAGATCGGGAGACAGTTAGTATAACTGACGGTTAGAAAGGCGGGGTCCAAGAGCTAATAAGCTCGATTCTGCAGGCACAAATAGTAAATACTCTTTCTCTCACACACACACACACACACACCTAGTCAGCCTAATGAGGCTGACTCCATACACAGTTTTAAATGTAGATATGATAGAGCCCAGGAATATCTATACACCAGTTGATTGACGGTAGAGAGGCGGGACCAAAGAGCCAAAGCTCAACCCCCGCAAGCACAACTAGGTGAGTACACACACACATAAAAGATAACTACCAAACTACGTGCATGAACCACATGCGAGAGTGACAAGCAAGGTTACCGACCACATAATTATACGGCACACCAACATAAACACGAGAGAGCCAAGGTTGCCTACTCCAGGACCCAGTACACCGCCTCGCAAAACACCACTCACCACCTGGAGTGAGAGGAAAGGTGCAACAGTAGACGGAAAACGAGTACCAAACCGACAGGAGACAAAGAGCCACAGGAAGAAAAAAAAACAGCACTTAAACCATTCTGCAAACCAAAAAAATGACAGTACATATTGTTACTGTTTGCTACTGATTGTACACAATATTTTGTCGCATAAACAAAAAGTCCACCTCTTGTATTTCTGCTTTATTAAAGGCTCTAAACAAATATTCAACTGCCTATAAACCTAACTTATCTCTGGTCTAAATAAGTAATTCTAGGCCTATTCAATCTTAGGTTAAATCTAATAAATACATGTAGGGAACATGTATTTATTAGGCATAGAGAACTTGTGTTTAATTTCTGCCTCTTTATAACCTACAGTAAAAACCGCGGATTTATTTGTGGGTAAAATAGGCAATGTTTTGTACAATAGTAGTTTTGAGGAGAGGTTGGTCACCAGCGGGGTCTTACAGGGGTCACAGATCACCAGCGGGGTCCCACAGGGGTCACACGCCGCCAGCGGGGTCCCACAGGGGTCACACACCGCCAGCGGGGTCCCACAGGGGTCACACGCCAC